TGGCGCCCTGGACGGGGCTGAGGTCGCCGGGAACCCTCCCACCTGCCCGAGGCCTCACGCTGGCCTGGGAGAGGGGCCAGGCGTGCCTCCCCCCAGGCCGGAGACCCAACACACAATAAAGGCTTCCCACTTTGAGCGCTTGGGTTCTTGTTGGGGACAGTGTACTGGATATCTGGATGGCCGCCTGGCAGGGAAGCCTCGGCTTACCAGGCCGGGAATGGGAAGGTTGGCCTGCGCTGGCCGGTGTCGTCTGGGAAGGGGGTTTAAAACTTCGGTATTAAAACCACAGCTCACCGTACCAAACACATTTCCCACGGCGACCTAGTATGCAGACACACACAACGTGCGCGGAAACCAACAGCTCCCTAACAGCTCCCTTCCGTGTGAGCAGGGCCCGGGCACCTTTCTCGCCCACTCACCTTAACAGCGACACATTCCTCTGGCTGAATTCTCCGCCCACGAACCTGGCGTTTGAAAAAGATCCTCTAGGGCAGCCCCCCTCCCCCAACCCCGGGCATGCGGGCCCAAGGGCGGGCAGGAGGGCGGTCCAGCCTTCGCTGGGCGCAGACTCCGAGATGCCCTCGTCGGGTGAAAGTCGTGCCCTCGCAAGGGCTGGGCGAACCCCGGAGCGCGGAGGCTGATAGAGCTGGGCCGGCGGCCTGAGACACCCCGCCGCCTTCATCCCTCCCCCGACCTCTCGGGTGGGAGAACCGGTCTCCCACGTGGCAAGGAGCCTCCGGAGGTTCGACCCCGCCGTCCGACCTCAGGCAGCCCTGTCAGCACCACTCCGACCGCCTCCCACCCCAGTCTTCGGCCCCATGACCCGGGGCCGGGCTGCGCTTTTGCGTGTCGCGTCCTGCGTCCTCGCGAGGAATTTAGGAAGGATCGTCATCTCTCCATGGCACAGGTGCGTAAACTGAGGCAGGGAAGGACCAGGAGTGGCGGGGACTGCTCCAAAGCCAGTTCTCAGTCGTCGACTTGGGGGTGAGGAGTGGTGTGTCCCTGGCCCTCATTTCGGGGACGGCTAACTCACCCTCACATCCCTGGGCGCCTTGGAGTCTGACATTTGTGGGGTTCGCACCGGTTAGTTCCCCGGGGCCATTAAGAGGAACGTCTCCTTGACCTCAACTTCCCTGGCTGTCCCACACACGCCCTTGCTGTCTCCCGGGCGGCTCCGCGCGTCGCCGCCCACCAGGGGACCCCCGAAGCCGCGCCAGCTCTCCAGGATAGGAATTTCGTGACGTTCCCTACCCGGGCTTGGAGGAGGGCTGTGGGAGTGCTGCAAGGGGCCATCGCGCAAGTGCAGCCCCTTGCGTCTGCCGCAAACGGCGAGTCTCACCTGGGCTCCGGGGCTCCCGGAGGGGGCGGGCGGACTGCCCGAAGGGGCGAGTCCCCGCGTCCCTCTCTACCCCGCCGCC